GGATCCATCCCACCTCCCAGGGAGAGCCCCGGGATCCATCCCACCTCCCAGGGAGAGCCCCGGGATCCATCCCATCTCTCCAGGGAGAGCCCCGGGATCCATCCCATCTCTCCAGGAAGAGCCACAGGATCCATCCCACCTCCCAGGGAGAGCCCTGGGATCCATCCCACCTCCCGGAGAGAGGCCTGGGATGAATCCCACTTCCCAAGGAGAGGCCTGGGATGAATCCCACTTCCCAAGGAGAGCCCCGGGATCCATCCCATCTCTCCAGGGAGAGCCCCGGGATCCATCTCATCTCTCCAGGGAGAGGCCCGGGATCCATCCCACCTCCCAGAGAGAGCCCTGGGATCCATCCCATCTCTCCAGAGAGAGCCCCGGGACCCATCCCACCTCCCAAAGAGAGGCCTGGGATGAATCCCACTTCCCAAGGAGAGGCCTGRGATGAATCCCACCTCCCTGGAGAGCCCCGGGATCCATCCCATCTCTCCAGGGAGAGCCCCAGGATCCATCCCATCTCTCCAGGAAGAGCCACAGGATCCATCCCACCTCCCTGGAGAGCCCCGGGATCCATCCCGCCTCCCTGGAGAGACTCCGGTTTGACTTCCCTTCGCGCCGGGCTGCTTTACGCCAGGCTCCGCGCGCCAGCCCCGCGGGCAGCCTCACCTGTAGAACTTGTAGATGCGCAGCTTGATGTCGGCCTCGTTGGGCTTGCCGTTGCTGCGCACGCTGCAGAAGATCTCCTTGATGCGGCCCACGCGGAAAGGGTCGGGCGCGTCCAGGTTGCTGCCCTTGATGTACTCGGAGTACTTGCGGTAGTGCTCCGGGTGCAGCTCCTCGTCCACCGCCTCCTTCTTGGGCCGCTTGGCCGGGCTGGCCGGCTTCACGCTGGCGACACGGGCAGCGGGTGGGCGATGGGTCCCCTGGGTGCCCCGTCGCCCACCCTGCGGATGCGGCGTGCCGGGATTCCCGCTGCGCTTCCCGAGGTTTCCCCACATGCTCCTCTCCATGGAACCACACGCAGCCCGTGTCCCCAGGGGAGCTCTATCACCCCCAAACCAGGGCAGCTCTATCCTAACTCTCCCCAGAGCCGGAGCCTTGGTCCGCCTCTCCCAACAACCATCCCTTCCTTCGGGAGCATGGGAAGGACACGGCCGGGGCAGGCTCAACCTCACGGTCCGGTTGTGGTTTGCCCATCAAGGAAACACCGCAATTTAAGTCCCGCGGGTGAAAAGCAGCCCTGTTTTACCCCAGGTTTTCCCAAGGGGTGGCCGGGCACGTCCAYGTCCCCCCTCTCCTACCGAAGGCTGCCCCAAGGGGGTCCCTGMAAGTGCTTACAGCCCCCTGCAAGCACCAACCTGAAGGAAAAGGCTTCCGGCAGGAGGTAGACGCCGTCTCCTACCCTGTACTGCACTCCGTTCTTGGTGGCCAGCGCGTAGAAGAGCTTCCCRTCCCCCTCTTCCAGGGGCTCGGCCACCCTGGGGATCTCCTTCTGCCTCACCTCGTCCAGGCGCGTGCAGCTCATGCAGAACCTGCGGCGACAGGGACGGCTCCAGCGAGCCCCTCTCCTTCCCTTAAACCCGGCTTTAAGGCTGGCTTTAAGCGGGAGCGCGGCCGGGAAGCTCCTCGGCGCTGCCCTGCCTGTGCCCCGTGCTCGGGGTGTCCCCGCTCGATCATCTCCACAGGTCCCGTCCCGCCTGGACCGTTTCGGGGTTCGGCGCCCCGCTCCCGAGCACTCACTTGTACTTGTTGTCCTCGGTGGGCTGCGTTTTCGGGGGCGACTCGAAGCGCGCGTACTCCTGGTCGTACCACATCTGGTAAAAGTAGGTCCTGCCGTCGTCCTCCACCATCTTGATCTCCATGTCCAGCCCGCCCTGCCGGGACGGGGACGACGTTGGCGGGGATGGGGACGTTGGCGGGGATGGGGACGTTGGATGTTGGGGGGGACGGAGACCTTGGCAGGGGACAGAGACTTT